AACAATAGTCAATTGTGCCTTTCAGGTATTTGAATACTCTTTCTAAGGCAGACCAGTGGTCTTGGCTAGGGTTGCTAGTATACCGACTCAGTCTCCCTACACCATAAACTATATCGGGTCTGATCCAGTTGGATATGTATAAGAGAGATCCAATAAGCTGAGAATACTTCAGCTGAGAGACAGGTTCACCTTCATTCTTCTTCAAGGATATTGAAGAATCATAAGGTGTGGAAACAGGTTTAGAGTTATGAAAGTTGAATTTAATCAGCATTTTCTCAATACTGTGAGAAAGACTCAAAGATATTCCTCTAGTGTCTCTAGTGATTTTCATTCCAAGTATCATATTAGCAAGACCTAAGTCTTTCATGTCAAAGTTCTTCGATAGATAATCCTTAACCTTTAAGATTAATTCAAGAGTTGTTCCAAAGATAAGGATATCATCAACATAGAGACAGAGAATGACATAGTCATTATTTATCACTTTAGAGTAAACACACTTGTCGTGTTCATTCACAGTGAAACCATATTTCGCAATGACTTTGTCAAATTTCTGGTGCCATTGTTTAGGAGCTTGTTTAAGACCATACAAAGATTTAACAAGTTTACAGACTTTGTTTTCCTGACCCTTGGCAATGAATCTTTCGGGTTGGTGCATATAGATCTCTTTATCTAAATCACCATTCAGGAAAGCAGTTTTGACATCCATCTGATGTATGATCAGCTTATGGATAACAGCAAAGGCTAGTAATACTCGAATAGTGGAGATTTGGGCTATAGGAGAATAAGTATCAAAATAATCAATACCCTTTTGCTGAGTATAGCATTTAACTACTAATCTAGCATTAAATTTATCTATGGAACCATCAGCTCTAAATTTCTTCTTGAATATCCACTTACAACCAACAGGTTTACAGCCTAGAGGTAAGTCGGTGAGTATCCAAGTATGGTTTTCCATGATAGATTTGATCTCATTATCAATGACTTCTTTCCAGAAAGAAGATTCAGGTGAATCCATTGCTTCTTGGAATGAGCTTGGATCACCTTCAACAAAATCCATTGCTTCTTGGAATGAGCTTGGATCACCTTCAACAAGAAAGGTAAAGAAGTCTTCTCCAAAATCTTTTTGAATTTTCTTGGAATGAGCTTGGATCACCTTCAACAAGAAAGGTAAAGAAGTCTTCTCCAAAATCTTTTTGAATTCTACATTTTTTGCTTCTTCGAGGTTCAATATCAAACGGCTGAGAAGAACTGGAAGATGGTAAATCAGAAGGAAGAGATGAACTAGGATTTTCAGAGATTTTTGGATTTGAAAGGAAAGATGTTTTCAAAATAGACTGTATATCTAGCTTCAATGATAGTGTGTTGGATATGTCACTGATTTCAGAGTTAATGACCAGAAATCTGTTAACATTGCTATCTTGTGCATATCTAATAAAAGCAGCATCTACAATCTTAGAATCAATTTTCCTCTTCTTAGATTCGGGAATAGCTACCTTAGCCAAGCAACCCCAAACCCGGAAGAAGTTCAACCTAGGAGATCTCCCCTTCCAATATTCATAAGGAGTTGTCTTTGAATGTTTCTGGGGACTTCTATTAAGAATGAAGCAAGCAGAAAGAAGAGCTTCACCCCAGATATTTTCAGGTGCTCATGAACTGAATAACATACAGTTTACCATGTCCATTAGGATTCTGTTCTTAATTTCAGCTAACCCGTTGGACTGTGGTGTATAGGGAGCAGTAACCTTATGAATAATACTGTGTTCTTGGCAATATTCTCTCATATCATTTGAGGTATACTCCCCCTCCCCCCCCCCCCCCCCCCCCCC